GGGGAAATAAATACTTACTTATGGACGTTGAATACTTTTTCCGCTGGCCTGTGGTTTGGCCGCTCCCAAATCAATCAGCTGCCGGTATCACCGAGACATTTTTGCATGGGTACGTGCTAGATAAAGGGCCCCCGGAGTGCCTCCTCACTGATCAGGGGGAAAAAATGTCGGCTAAACTGCTGAAGGAGGTGTGCGAACTTTTGGGACAGAAAAGGTTCGCACATCACCCTATCATCACCAAACGGATGGGATGGTAGAGTGGCTCAATAGGACTCTGACCTCGATGTTGAGTCAGCAGGTCGATGAGTCACGTAAAGATTGGGATTTGCGCATCCCTGGGGTGCTTGCGGCCTACAGAATGACTCCGCATGTTTCCACTGGCTACTCGCCGCTCTTTTGCTGTATGGACGGGAACCAAACCCCCCCATTGATGTCCAGCTTAAAATGGCTCCTGGGAAGCCGAAGGTTACCATCTCTGAACCTATGTGGTTTACCCTCCAATGGGTTTCAGAGGCGCCCGAGGCCTCTAGAGAAAATTCCGCCGCCTGGGAATTGGCCAACGAGTGGTTGAGACGTCGTCGCGAATCGGGCAAATAGTGGGCCCCGGGAGACAGGGCTTGGCTGCACTGTCCGAAAGTGCCTGTCGGCACATCGCCCAAGCTGTGGCCCTGGCGGGGTCCGGTCGAAGTGGTATGGGCTAAGATCCGGTTCGGCCGCCGGAATTAGTCCATACATCCGTCGCGACTTATGTCGTTTTTTAATCCCCATCACATCCCCTCATCTCAAATTTCTGAGGGCCGAGTGTCGGGTGTACTGGGTGAGCTGGGGGGCGCGCCTGTGGAGGTGGTCCCTCAGGGTGGCTCTGTGGTCCCGCCCACAGGATCGGAGCTTGTGATGCCCTCGGCACTGACGGCTGCTGCTCCTCTGGACGCCCCGCTGAGTGCGGAGCAGCTGACAACCGACCACCCCCCGTCGACGCCGCCGCCCTTGATGGAGCGGCCACACCTGCCTGCCAGCATTTAAATTCCCCCTGGACCTTCCAGTGAGCTTAGGCCCACCTCGCCTGGAGGTCCAGCCACACGGACTCGTTCAAAAACCGCATGCTTCAAATGACTCTTTCACCTGTTGCGAGTTGTTACTCTGGTAATTTATTGTTCTGTGCGTGCGTGATTTTACAGAGGGGCACCGAATGTGGTGGGGGTTTTGCGAGTTAACCGGTTAATGCATGCTTGTTGTGTCGTTAATTCACCATTCACATTTTTTTATTTTTTTATTCTCTTCTCTCCTTATATGTGTAGTGGGCGACAGAGACGGTGTCGTTGAGGCACACTATTTATTGTAACTCACAGGGTAACAATGGAAGGGGTAACGGCCCCTTCACCCGTACTGGACTGGGATGCACCCCTAGGCTATCTGCCTAACTATTATGCTCCCAGGTCCTCCGCTAAAGGCGCTAGGGGAGGCTACCTGACTTGGCCCTGGTCAATGCGCAGGTCACGACACCCAGCCAGACAGACCTGGCCCTTAGAAGGACATCGGCTCTGAGGCTCTGGGGCCACACCACTAGCTTGCTCTGCCTAGCCCTGAGAAGGACAGCGGGTCAGAGGAGTTCCAGGGTTTATCTGGCCGGTCTTCAGTCTTCACTGGCCCTTTGCTCTTTAGCTCCCCAACACTTCCCCGAGCTCTCTGGCTCTCCGCCTTTTATACCAACTTGCCACCGAGGGACGGGGCTGTGTGGGATCACAGCATCCTCCCACAGCCCGCCAGGGTGGTAACCGTTTGCGGACGTGTTGTGGACACCTCTGTGTACCCGTCCGTTTCCCTCCCGTAACACCCCTACATGTGTAAATATGTTGCTCGCGAAATGTATTGTCGGTCGCCGGTTATTTATTGACGTTCTATTTGTTGAGATCTACACATTTCTCGGTTAAATATGGTCACAGCCGGGATGGCTGTATGTTACATCGGGGGGGGGGGGGGGGGGGTGATGTAGTGACATATGATGTCACTACCGTGTTGGGTCTGTTCGCATGATGTCACTGCTATGTCGGGTCGGTACGAATGACATCACTGCCGGGTCGGGCAGTGTGGAGGCTGCTGACGAGTGCCACGGGGGTCGTGTCAGGCCGTTGCACTCTAAGTTAACCCGACCGGACACATGACCGGATCAAGGTGGGGGCCAGGGACTCCAGGGGGACCTTGGGGGTCACGTGGTCAGGGAGCAGAGTCTTCTCGAAGGTTCGAGAAGATGGGCGTGGCCTGGGTGTGGTCAGGCCACACTGAGGTGCATATAAGCGGCTCCGCATGCAGAGCGGGGCTGTTCATGTCCGGGATGAAGACGCCTCATGAAGACTGAAGACAGAAGCCTCAAGTCGTAGTGGCCAAGCAGAGTAGTACCCGAGTGTTCGAGTGTTAGCGAGATTAGGACGGTGGTCGCCACCTTATATATAGTGTGTGGGTTACAGTTGTTATGCAGCTCTGTTAAATAAACAGTGTTGCCTCCATACGAGTGTGTGCGCCTCTGTCGAACCATTACATAATTGTAGATGCACGAAAGCTCCTCAAAACATTGAAATAAAGAGTTGACGTTCCACAACTCTCAGGTGTGCCTCGGTGGTGGAGTCACTCGATCCTCAAGAGGAGGGCAGAACACAACGCAGAGTATCCACTCATCGCCTCCGAACTCGTATTATGTTGTTGTCTTTATTAACCAGCCTGTCCCCTCATTATGATCATGGGAGTAGAGGGATAGGGTGAGCCGGTTACATATTCATTCCTTACAAGGCAGTTGGGCCGGTAGATTTTGTTAGACATATTTTTACCGGATACTCTCGATTATCTGCGTGCGGTTCATTCCATTTTCGGAAAAACAGCGCACGTAAAATTTTGCCAGAAATTGAAAACTTTCGCTTAAGCCCAAGTTAATCATTTAAAACCGTTTTGGAAATGTGTACTACAAGTAGACGTGCTTAAACCGAACAAATATGTATCTTGGCTCTGCTGTCCACTTAGTGGGCGGGGTCTTCTGCTGGGCCGGAGCAAGAAAGTGTTATTATCACTAAGCATACACATCGTTGATCGATCGATTGTGAATTTTGAGCGAGGAGATCCGTGGAAAATGGATATTTTTGGATTATCCGCGATTTTGAATTATCCATGGCTGTCTACCGCGTCATTAGTGCGGATAATCGAGGGTTTACTGTCATATGTTTTTACGCGGAGAGACAGATCTATGGAAAGAGAAGTTTAGCAGCCAACGACTGTCTCCTGCTCCTAATCTCGAGGGGGCCCTCCAGGGCTCCTTAGGAGATAGTGAAAGCGTGCTGGAGGAGACATCGAAAAAGTAAACTCTTCTCCTGATAACTCCGCCAAGTCCTGCCCGGGAGCGAGCAAGAGAAGGAGAGGGAGAAGAGGGGGGACCCCCTTCCCTGTGCGTGCTGAAGCATTTATTTGCTGCTTCTTGCTGGTTTCCTGAACGCCCAAGAGGCCTACCCAGCTGTGAAGCCTGCAAAGTGTTGCCTTGGCAGGGTTCGACTTGGTCGACAGGGCGCTTGGCTGAGGCTGGTGCCAGGGCCATGGGGCTTAATTTGTTTTACTTGTGTCTCGTGTTAACGTGGCAATTCAACAGCATTCACAAACAGTGACTACAACAACAGCAGCAGCAACATTATCCACTTCTACAACTACTGAAAAAACTTCTACCACGACAACTACGACATAAACTCTTCCACAAATGCTTAAGGATATATGACTAAGACAAGGACGATTACAACTATTTCAGCAACTAGTATAACAGTGCTACAACAACTACTATGACAACTACTACCATACTTCTACTATTTCAACATCACTTACTTAAACTACTATTACAGCTGCTAGAACGACAACGACCACTAAAACTGCTTCTACTTCAACAACTACAACTGTTGCGACTCCAAAGACTACAAATAGCTCTCCTACAACAACGACTATATACAGTATACGTATGTTAAACTTCTTTCGCACCGTACGTAGCCAACAGGAGGAGCGGAGGAAGGACAATAAACTAAACAAATAATCAGTTCTAATTTATTTTTTATCTAGATGATTTAAAAGTGCATAGCTCCAGTAGCTTCATAATATCGAAAGGAAAAGCAATCCAGATGACTGCAGAAGTGCATCTGAAAGTGACCGTCTTTGTTCGATGGCTAGCCAAAATACATTGAGAGGATAACTGGAGAATGCGTGGTGATGGTTGATGTTCCTTGACGAGATCAGCAAGGTGTTATGGTTCATTTGTGGCAAGCACTGTTGCTTCTGCAACACCTAACTTACTAGAACAATTTTGACAACTACTACAAGAACTATACTACAACTATTTATAATCTAACTCAGACAACTATTTCTACTAGACCAACTACTACAACGAGTATATACTACAGATATTGAGTAGGAATTCAACATTTGATTTGATGCGATTTTATAATTCCAAGTGCATACCTCTCATTAAACTTTCGTTTATTAACACGTATTCAATTATTTGAGCAATTTCCATTTTGTTTGTTAATGTTCGTGTTTCTAAACCACATCTCATAGAAAACAATAGGCACTTAGAAAAAAAAGTTTATTTCCGAGGACAAACGCATGTTGGGTAGTATAGAAGATTTCATGGCAATGCATTCGTTTTTATCTTCCTTGTATATCAAATTAAACGAGAGCACACAGAGCACACTATGCAAGTTAGTATGCACACGTGACAATTTTTAATTCCCAAAAGTTACCCCATTCACACGTTTATAATTACAGTCTCCACAAATACACATCCCATCGAAAGGCCGGCGACACCTTGAGAATGATCTCGAGAGACGAGCGCTGACACACCATGCCACAGCAATGGTCACGACATTAGAAACAATCACACAACAAGCGTATTTTTAACCTCCCAAGGTGCACACCTCAAAGAGGAACGAACGGTATAAAAGCTAAACGCGACAGCGGATAAACTTCACTCCATCGCCCCGCGAGAGGTGAACTCTGCAGGTAATGTAAGTGTGGCTCTGGATCGCGTCTTTGTGTGCACACTTTTAGCAGGCACAATGTGCCTTTGCGTTTGGCTCTGGATCGCGTCTTTGTGTGCATACTTTTAGCAAGCACAATGTGCCTGTGCGTGTGGAGTATTTGCCTACGCTCGCTTTAATTGGTGACCACTAAACAGCACGAGAAGTTGGAGAGGGTGGTTTAGTTGTCAGTGCAATGCCTGGGTCCTGGTGAGCTTGAGTTCGATCCCGAACACAACTATCATAAGTGTGATATATTAATTATCTATGACTAACGTGCATTGTTCCAGCGTGGTGAATTGTTGCAAAGATCCACTCCACCGACACGGCATAGGGAGGTCTTCATTTATACTAAGTGTTTCACAAAGGGCTCTAATAATGATTACTATTATTTAGCACTTGGAACCACTGCTAAACAAATGTATGTCATTACGTAACCAATAGCTCGTCAAAAACTGACAAAATTTGTATATATTTTTATTCAATTTTGAACATATAAATAATAAAGAATTTTCGGGAAATACAATTAATAACAAGTAATTGAAAAACTATTTTAAGTTTAATAAATGTGTTTATCCTTATCTACTATACCATCAATAGTGGTTGTGTGTTCCTAGCCACTTGGCGTTTTGGCTTCTGGGTCATTGCTCAATAACCATGACAAATAATATTACGCAAGGTATTAGAGAGTAAGGAGGGAGAGAGAGAGTGATGTGTATAGAAGAGGCGAGAAACGGGTGAGCTAAAATAAAGTAGCAAACAAGACTGTTCCAAAACGATGCAGTCTCTTTTAAAACTAAACGAAACTTTGTATCTTTATTTTACCAGGTAAAGCCCACTTAGCTATGTAGCTCTTTTTCAGAAGCGACTTAGCCACAAATGACAGCTCAACGAAGTGGCTTATGAGATGGAAATGTATAGCAGACAAATACTCGAAGTGCATGTCGATTAATAATGTGGATGGACAAATCGGAGAACCCGGAGAAAAAATACACGATCACTACCCCCACCCTGAGCACACTCAGACGCGCAGCACTGGCACCCACGTCGTGTCCTGGCATGGGATTGCCTAGCACAGGGGTCGGCAACCAAATTAACAAGAAGAGCCATTTCTTTCCAATTCGGTACAAAATTCAGTATTTCAAGAGCCGCAATGCATCTGAGTACATACTGTACATACGTACATATCGTCAAGAAGCAGCCCATAAAGAGCCGCATGCGGCTCCGGAGCCGTAGGTTGCCGACCCCTGGCCTAGCACATCGGGTTTTAATCCAAAGGGCCCCTCGAGGGAAAGTCCCACGGTTTCACGGTGCCAGGAGATTGGCTGACCCTCGCAGGACTGGTTACATTGCGATGGTATAAAATTGTATGGGCGCAGAAAGAAAAGGTTCCCTGGGCCAGCCGCAATGAGTTACTCACAACATTGGGGGAGGACGGATGGCGGAATATTAGGCAAGAAAAGTGCAAGCGCCTTGCCAGACAATGGGCAACGAGGGACAATGGGTGGCGGGTGACCGCCACCGCAAACTACAGCAAAGACACGGTAACAGGGGGGGGGGGGTGCGATAACCACAGGTAAAAATTTAACCCGTAAAAACAAAGTTTTTCACTCTAAATCCTTTATATGCGTGGCGGCTAGAGTCCTATCGTCCTCTGGCTTGAGATGGCTGCCACCTATGGGTCAGATGATTGTCTGCCAGCATTAAGCAATTGGTAATTAAATCTTTTTAAAAAATCCCTAAACAGTGTAAAATTTTGAAAAAAAAATTCACGAAAATTACCCACAGACTCGTTGTCATGCACAACGAGTCTGTGTGCAAAATTTCAGCTCGATTGGATCACGGGAAGTGGGTTAAAAACGACCGAAAGATTTGCACGGTCGTAAGCAAGCAAGCAAGCACGCAAGCAAGCAAGCAAGCGAACTTAATATAAAGGATTTAAAAAGAGTAGCCCAGGACGATTTTAGGTCTCTTGTCTTCAACCTCCGGGCCGTCAAGATCCACTCCCTGCCATCCTGCCTCCTCGAGCCGCTCGCAGCATCCGTGTGATGCCAGCGAGTGCTGCTACGAGGCAGTGATAAGTAAAGTTTTATCTCGTCCTTCTCCCTCCGACTCTCACAGCGTCCCTGCCACGCCGTGAGCACAGCTTCGAGGTGCGTGGTAGGACGTTTGAGTGACTGGGTTCGTAGGCAGAGTTAGGCTAAGTTCTTCTCGCAAAATATTCACTCCCAAGTAGTGTGTATTTGCGCCGTTAATAAACTTTAGTACAGAGTATCGGTGCAGTTTGACTTCTGTGTGTGTGAGTGGAACCTCGGCGTGGTGTTGGTAATTTGAGTGTGTGTGTGCGTGAGGCACGCATGTATTAAAACATAAACGGCCGCTGACGCTCACTCGCCCGTGCAGCCGTGCCTTGCAAATATCAGGGCGGGATGAGTAGAAACCACTCGCCAACGCTAGCGCGTGTTTATGCGTGAACGTGTGTGTTACATTAATTATCTACGGTAGCGCGCGCGCTGACGCTTTAGAGCGCGTCTGAACGCGGGTGCGGGGTAGTGGATAAACACCCTGCCAGCACGCATATTCGGGCAGCCCTTTAGCGTTAGCCTTTGTGGTGTGCAAGCGGATTAGGGCTTAACCACCAGGAGGTGCGCGCTCATATTCATGTAGCCGCCTTCGTTTTAGCGGTGGTGTACGTGGGCGTGTGCGGAGTAACCCCGTGCGGCGGAGAGCCAGTGCTGCAGCCATGTCCCTCAGAGAGAGCGACAGCATGGGGGGGCCGATCACTCAGTCGGCGGGGGCCCGGCGGGGGCCGATCGACATGGTGGAGGAGGGAGTAGAAGGGTCGGACGTCGCGCCCCACCTGCCCAGCGAGGGCGGTGGGGTGGACGGCGGCCTCCACAAGACACCTAAATTCCAAACATACAGCAGGCGCCAAGGTCGGGACCGAACTTACGACCCTCCTTCAAAACCAGGCGAGGGAGATGACATCTCGCGCCCTCTTGATACCATGATGTAATAATCCACTTGGCGCCAGAGACACGAGCTGATTTCATTGTTCCATCTCTGTGGTCGCCCTCGTCTTAGGTGCTTTTCCTCCTTTGGCTGCCTTTCAGCAAGTATTCTCACCCATCTGCCATCATCTCTTGGAGCAAATAGTTCTGCCAAGCCCATCTACTTTCTTTATAGTAAACATGTCTCTAATCCCAGTAACTCTCTATCGTTCCGTTCAATACAAAAGCAAGCATCTCCCCGTAATTATTTGCATACTTTGTAGATTGTACTTTCAAGCATGTCATCGTCATACAATCCTTCAATAGACACCGATTAAAAACTCTCTGTGTTAGACACATTGGTACATTGACATCCCCTGCAGCAGGAAAAGAGATCACAACGGTGCTACCTCCACAGGCGTTATGAGCTGAGGCAGACTCATGCGAGCGACTGTCCTGGATCCCAGGGAAGTGGGCGAGTTCTTCTTCTGTCATGGAAATAGAAACATTTACCAGGGTAGATCGCAGCTACCCTACGCAGCCAACCATGATAATCGGAGGTGCGCATACTGGAAGACTGTTTAACAGCAGCAACATTTGCTGCTGTTGTTAATACCTGATGAGATATGGAAATAATCTCTAGCGAAACGTCTTATAAAATTATCAACATTATGCATGCTTTTCAACATTCCGGTTAGTTGACAAAATCGTTTGGCATATTTACCCATGACGTGACAACGTGATTTGATTGGTTCTGTCAAGTGGACGGGAGGTATAGCTGGAAATTGGCGTGATGCCTACTCCACAAACTGACTAATTACGAATCATAATGCTGGTAGTGAAAACCTACGTATAACATGCATGTGATGTTTCTTCTCACATCAGATGGTAGGAGTAATGTGTGCGAGTACATGCATCCAAGGTCTTCAAAATTCTGGTGATGATCCAAATGACAGCGTCCAACTGGGTATCAATGAGATTTCTGTGCACAATAATTATTTGGCTGGAGAGTATAAAAATGCCAGCGATGTCATTCGCAGTTTTCGCATCACAACCCCAGCAGTTCAAGGGTCATGACGTTTGTCCCCTAACTTGGTTTTATGAGCGTTCAACTTTTGCTGACCCGCCAATAATGAACACCTTTAAACTTGAACTTCAGCTCATCGGATTCCTCCTCCAGTCTAAATAAAGATTCAGATTTTTTGAGATGCAAGCGAGGCTTCCGTCATACGAAGATGCCGTGGGTAGGTCTCGTGTGCGATCCATGTCTCATTGGCACGCTCGTTCAGTTTCCTCTCAGCTTGTGAGTCGCTAAGATAGAATGCTGACGTCCCAGTTTTCACAGGGTTAGGTCAGAGGCATCGGTATTGGAAATATTCATTTATTTTGAATCAACAGTGAGGGTTGCCTCCATTTGTATGAGTGTTGCTGCCTACACCATCAAAGCAAAATCATCAGCATAAATGAATTAGTGGCCTGGTATTGTTGGAGGAATGTCGCAAATGTAGAGGCGCCAAATACTGATTATTTTGGAAGGCCATTATGGAGGGTCCGTGCTCTGCTCTTCTGGTCTCTTAAATCAACATGGAATGCGGGGTTGGACATCATTGCCTTCAGCCGTCGCATTGTCTGCTGGCATTGCAGCAGGTGAGAGAGCTTCAGCAGGAGGCCTCTTTACCAGACGAGTGTCGGAGGTGATGAAAAGGTCTACTCAGACCTCCGCTGTTTTTAACTTACACTGGTAGCCTGCCTCAACACGTGATGTGAGTGCAAGCACGTGGTCACCAGTAGCTTATCTCCGGCATGAATCCAGCTGTCTTGAGCGGGTTGATCCCAGAAAAGAGAGAGACAACGTTCTGACCTGGAGTGACCTTTCCAAGAGCTTGTATACTGGACAGGGCAGGGATATGGGTCAATAGCTACTGCGGTCATCAGCAGGTTTTCCAGGCTTCACTACCACCAGATTTTCGAGAGCTTTTCCAGTGATCATGTTTTCAG